TGGACTTGTTCAATCTCGATTGAATTCCCCAGGACCAGAACATTAGAGTTCATACACCACTCATCTTCTTTTCAACAAAACTCTAATATCAGCTACAAGTTATTCCTCCTTAAGAATTGTCACCTCCTTCCCTCTAACTTACTTAAGCAGGAGAGAAGCAGCTGACAATACACTTCGGAAGTTCATGTTCTGAATCTGCAGTTGAACAATTCCACTCGATCCATTCCGCTTGGTTATTTTTTAATGAGTTTACATGCACATGAATGCTGTGCTGAACATGCTGGAAATGATTGCGATCCTGGTCTAGATTATGCCCTCGTCGAAGCAAGAGTGCTCGAGAGCATAGTTGCCAGCCGTTAAGCCGGAAGTTGATATGCCATGTGAAACTTTTAAATCAGTTCCACTGGACTGGACTCTGGTGAAGTCTAACATTCTACCTTGACTTGGCTATTGGCGATATGATCTGTGGAGACTTTGTGTTGAACCGGTATACAACACTACCAGAAAATCGGAAACTGGTGGGTTACTCTTCTCTCTCTTTACCTCGCTCGATTACAAGTCATCAGGTACCGTACTTACATCGTTATAAACTTAAGTTCTAGCCGAAGACTCAGACCTCTCATAATGAGAATCTGTCCTCAACCTGTATACATGTTAAAGATTCGAAAGAGTTTGTCCTTCTTTGTGTCACTTACAGGATTGTATAACCTTCAGGTATTCCAAATTCAATCAAGTTCACTGGAAAATTCTATCCTGCAAGCCAATTGGGTCAGGGATTGTTGTTTGTATCATGGTATACTTCGAAGATTACACTCTGATTGATGATTGCTGAGCGTAGTATAATCAAGTTCAAGTTCTAATCAAGTTGATAACTGGAAGTTGGAATCGAGAGGGAAGAAAAAGCGTCTCGCAGGCAGTCAATTGGTTAATGAGTGCTTGTCGGTAAAGTAGTTTCTTTCGGACAAATTTAAAACATAGTGACACCTTGAACCGATAATTTCTGAGGTATTTTCAAAGCATTCGAATAATGGCGGATGAAATCTGTTATTTATTACAAACTGATTCGATTGAAATTGTAGCCAATAATTGTCCTTTAAGTGTTCTCAAGCTGGAGAATTTAAAGGAATATCACGTTCCGAATCAAAAACCTCAAATAGTTCGTAGATTTAAATAGACTAACAAAGTTTCTAACTTCTAGGTTCTGTTTCTCGGGCTGGAGATCGGTTCAGGTCAGTAACTGGACTTGGTTAGTGATGAGTGACCTTCCATGGTAGGTGCCTGATTGGTCTTCACATACAGATGATCTCAAAATCTATAGATCCAAATCAGCTCCTACTCTTGTCCAGTACCTTCAAGTTCCACGTTGAATGCTACTGCATGGTAACTTGGCGTCTTGCTTCTTACCACCACTCTCGAACTTTATAAGGTCAATATTGTCTTCGTGTTTGCAGGTAACACCATCTTCATAGTTAAGATTACTTCTACATCATTCCTATCAGAAGCTATTCGATCAGATTGAATCCGACGTATTTCTATGTAACCATTGCGTCATAGACAGCTCTTCAAATTTTTTTTAAGAACGAGAAAACCAAGCAGATGTTTACAAGCTCCAAGTATACAGGGCTCCAAGCACCGCAGAATATAAATCAAGTTGGTTGCTCCACAAGATTAGATAAGTAGATTCTGCAGAACTTCATCGTGTAAAGTTCCAGCTAACTAACTTCGTGTATGGTTTACACGACCACTTATTTTATTTGTCAGTGGATTTTAATTTCTCATTTTAGCTTTCAGAAGGTTGTTGAATGTCCGATAGTAAGAAACAGAGAGCCCTGCTTTGTTATATGCACGATGATCAAGCTAAGTACATTTCTTGTTTCTGAACCAGAGAGAAGAGACTGCAATATTTAATATTAATGTATGCTGCAGGATATGTACAAAAGAGTCAGTATCTTTAGGGTCAATTCTCACCTTCTGAAAGATAGGCCTGGTCTACAAGATCACTAGTTTGTGGGTTCACCTTCAGATCACCCTCACCGACTACAAAGAGGTGGCAGTAAATGGCACGAGGGATTAAATGCACTCCGTTTGAGTTCAACTCATAACAGTACATGTCTCTAAATTCTTTCCCTATCTCAAAATTGATAGTCCGGATCTCGTCTTTGAAAACAGTCTACTTCCTGCCGGAGTTCAAATTATAGTGTACAGTTTATATGTTCCATATTAACAGCAATCGACACAATGGGAAGAACCTTCAGATCTAGCGACCGCCGTTTTGTAACAGATGTGGGTACTCGCTAAATATTTGTGCATCATTTGGATTTTTCTAGTTCCAATGAAGTAATTAATATGTATTGCCTACAACATAATTAAAAGAATTCCTCGCATTTTGTCTGCCTGTGTTTAGATTTCTACGATGTCATGCCAAACAAATATCTTGCAGTATCCTATTTACATGAAACGATGAAGTTTTTTATAGCATGAGGACTTTGTAGGAATTGAATCAGGCAAATTGACATATCTGAAAGTAGTGTTTTCTTGGGTAGAAAATTTCAGACTCAGACACTGACTGTTCCGATGACTGGTTAGGAGTTCCATTTACATCAGCATTTATTGTGCATTCGTTCCTGTTCGCTCTTACCCTTTCCCTAATTGATTTTGGTTCCGACACAGCAGAATATCCTCTGCACGTAGAATATCGTTTGTGAATTGCTCTTCTACTTGAGCAGAAATGTGCAGATAGATAGAGTGTGGTTTTTCGTTCGGTTCGAATAACATTTGTAGCCTGCACAATCTGCACAGAGAGATTTGAAATTCTACTGGCGGAGGAGATGATGTTCTGGGACAACAACAGTACAATTAGACTTTCTGGAACTTCCGTGTCGGACTCCTGTCATTAGAACTCTCACGTCTATGGATAACGCATTTCCTTCTCTAGGTCTTTTTCACAATATTTGAGATAGAGCCGCTCCATGGGTTCGAAAAAGGAGTTATGGTAGCTTGAACGAGTACATTCTTCAAAACTTAAGCCCAGTCGTGGAATTCCTCTGATATTTTTGCTGCTCAACTAAGCTCAACTGAGTTTTGGAATAAGAATCACACAGAACTTGTCCTTGTGCTTGTCCGCCGCCATCCACAAGGAGACTGGTCCTTCTGCTCGTCTCCATTATAACAAACTTGGCCAAGTCTTCGGCTGTGTAAAGATCAACGGAGTGCAACAAAAGACTGCGGCGTGAAGTACTTGTTTCGTGCGAATCTTCAGTAGACCTTTTTGATCCAATTTAACTCTTCCCTTCCCAATTGCTTTTCTCTCACTGGAATTTTTGACCTTCAAGGATTACAAATTAAATATCCAGATATCAGATATAGTTCCTTCACTACTGCAGTCACAGTTTGATGTCCTCTATATTCTACGTCCCCTAATGCTGCTAGGTGAACACGTCTCATGTTATATGCGACCTTCTGTCCAAAATATACTACAAATCCATCGTGTTCTCATTTGCAAGGAAAATTCCAACTCAATAATTATATACTATTTCATTCACCTCTGTTACAATCTACTGTCAACAGTTCTCAACATGTACATTCATGAGGAGCATGAGTACTTGCGGCTCAGAGTCTCCTTCCTGTTGAAGTAGTGCACCCAATTTATGAGTGGGCCTCCTACTACAGTTCACAGAGAAGAAGTATCTAGATACTGCTCTCAACTCATATTGACCGTCGTGTGATTTTTTCAATAGGGCAGCAAATGGTGAGTGACGCACGTTGCAGGCTGTTTTCAACCCCACAAAACGACCACTTCAGTACTTTGAGAAATCTCATTCCTAGTTCTGACAACTCTCGCAAAATTCTTACAACGCTTGTTTTTTGGCTTGTTTTTTCCTTGCCCGGCTGGCTAGAATGTGCGATTCTTTGTTAAGATTTGATACATATGCTTCGTTCCAAGAATGAAAGGTTCCAGGAAACGAACGGTTTCTCTGCAGAAAAGGTGGTATCCCTCTTGCGTCTATATTCAACACTATTACGCAAATGTTTTCATAAAATGTCAACATGGATGACCAAGTTAATGACCCTACTTTGGGCAACTAGGTGCACTGCACGTTTAGCTGCGAGCTGTCTAGCGTCGGTGTTGAGCGAAAAACAAAAGCTAGGGCGATCTGATTGCAGAGTCACGATCAAGTTCGTGGCTACCACGCTCGGATATCACAATTCTCTTACTTTGGCAACATGCACACAACTTCCGTCGTCGACGCTTCCCCTGTGGCATATATAGTCAAATCCATGTTGAAGACCAGTTCCAATGCAATTGTTTCGAGGAAGTTCCTCTATATGTGCTGGAGATTGTCATCGAGTAAGAAGGTAATTTAAGGTGAGACCTTCTCCCACTTCTGTTGTAGTTTGGCTTTCTCCGAGGGCAAGAATCTTCGAAGGCCATAAGTCTATCGCCGACATTTGTAAACAACAGAGATATTCTAGGCCCGCTTTTCGATCTCAAGAAGCGTCAACGTTTAAACTCGTCACACGTCACTCCATGGGGCATGCACAGAAATTTCTAGTTCGAAGCGTCCGTATTTGACTGGAATATTCTCCAACATTATCCACGACGGAGACTTTGATAGCGACCCAATCCTACTACACAAGGTACGTAAGCTCGTGAGCTCATGACAAATCTCAGCGACTTTGCCTTGACCCAGGACTTCCGGAGGGCACTTGACAATTAACAACAATGGAGGTAGAAAGAGAAGAGTTGACGGACAATGACAACGACATCCAGGGGTAAATTCTTGAATGACGCGACCAGCGATTCTTAGAAATCAACACCGTGCCTTCTCCCTCTCACCCACCGCTGAAAATTCTCGTACATACAGTATCACAGGTTCGACTAAAAGTTCTTCATACGCACGGTTCCCTTTTCACGAAGCAAAACCCTTAGATCAGCCGCAATCGCATCGTGATCAATTCATCCACCCAGCCATCCGGCTATGCAACTTTGCACTCCTCGAGAATCCAAGCACTGATGTGATACATTTAAGCAGTAGTGTAATTTTCCTTGACATTAGCTGAGAGGGTACAATCTTGGACGCTCGAGCACCGCCTCAAAAGCACAATTATAATGAATTATGGACCTACTCATGCCCGGCCGTAAAATGCATCTGTTCAGAGAGATCTGAGCTCTCTGAAGTCGTCCGTACTTGCGTCTCTGCTGGCACTCGGTAGGCACCTCTAACGAGCATAGGACTGATCAATCTAACAAGGCCATGTTCGAGCAATATGCCTACGAAAAATGCAGTGGTTACCCAACATTTTGAACATGACGTCAGGAGGCAAACTGCAGCAAATCGAGCTCTTTCATCCCATGCCACATTTGGTCAAGAGCAGTATTCATGGCCAGCAAGCAAATCCTAACCCCTCTCTTCTTCTCAATCTCAAAATAGCAACTTGGACCGCCCAGCAGATGGCAAAAGAGTCATCCTCCTCCTGAATCCCGCGCGCGCAATCTACGACGTGATAGCAAAAATGTTGCCTCGTTAAGAACGGAAGTCTGGGCACTGTGTGAGAGACGGGATTACAAGTCATCCTCCTCCATATCCTCCATGCATTCCCTCAACTCTTCATCGAGTGCGTCGAGAAGCCAGGTTTCGGCATGGGCGAGAAGAGCAGGGCTACTTCTGATCATCAGAGCGCAAAATTCTCTCTCGCTGAGCACACCGTCCCCATCTAGGTCACCCTGAGCTATCATCTCACGGAATTCCTGATCGGTAATTCCTTCCAGACCCAGTCGCCTGGCGTTCTTCTTTAAGCTCTGAATTGTAATGGTGTTGGTGCGGGGGTCCGCGAGCATGCAAAACCCGTTGCACAGTTCTTTAGAAAAATCTTCCGGCCCTATTTTTTGGGCCATGATCGGTAGGAAGTCTTGGAAACAAATGTCCCCGCCCATCGAAATAGTGTATTCCATATCCGCCATTCGTCTCTCTCTCTCTCTCTCTCTCTCTCTCTCTCACACACACACACACACACACAACAACAACAACAACGATGACTGACCGCTCTAAAAGGAGGAAGCTCGTCCTTATAGACAAATGTCTTTCAAGCCACAATGACGGCGACAGCAGTCAGGCACATCAGAATCGCGGTCGTCTGATCGCCACAGCAGATGAAGGGACTCCTGCGTCTGCAAACACCATTGCACTCAGAGGGAGCGGCGAGGGAGTCGATCCCACGGCAGCCGCGGCGGCAATCAGACTCATAAGGCAGGAGCAGTACGCGACCCGCAATCATCATCCCTCTCGCATTATGGAATTCCCAACCTCCCAGCGCTCATCACTCGTTGAGGCCAGTGGGACGGCCCCAGACCCGCTCTGAGCACACCAGTCGTTCTACGTGTACGTCTGATGTATAACCGTCCGAAATCAACCGACGCCTCCGCACACCAACAGGTCACTGATAGGAGAGAGGAGAGATAGACGAGAGCGAGAGCGAGAGGAGAGCGAGCTAACTAGCGAGTGCAAGCGACTCGACGAGTCTATCTTCGCCAAGAGGGCAATTGGAATCGGAACTCTCGCGAGCAAAGGAATGTGGGTGTGTGAGACTGGGAGAATTCGGGGTGCTGAGTGAGTGAGCGAAGATAGAGTGTGTGAGCGAGAGTGGTCTACTCGAAATAACTACATTGAGACGCTCCGGAGAGCCGGGCTTTAAAAGCACCCGCCAAGGGTGGTGGAGGTTGAGGTGGAGACGCAGGCCGGGCGAGATGCGGTGAGGTGGGCTGGTGATGGTGATGGATCCTTTCCGCATGGTTTCCCAAGGAAGGAGGCAGGCAGGCAGGCAGGCAGGAGGCAGGCAGACCAAGGCAGGCCGAGCTACGCCAAGCTAGGCCCGAGCCGGGATCATTTTGTTCGTTGTTCGCTCGGCACCGCTGGGTGGGAAGTCGTCAAAGGCAGGAGAGTACCTCCGGAATTGTACCGCATGAGCCACATCGTCATTCGCTTCCTTGTCCCTTCGCAAACATCCGATTTGATCCTCCTGGCCGTTCATCCCTTTTGCTGCCATCTGTTGCAGGCTGGGTGTAAGCGAGGGGGCTGCGAGCCGCGAGAGCGCCTGGGCCGTGACAAAAGTAGCGGGCAATCAGTTCCCTCGTTGCGCCGACTCCACGTCAAAGATGCAAGGCTCTATTCGGACAGGCTCCTACTGTCGCTCCCTGCTGCGCCCTGCGCGTCGTCCTCCTCCGCCTGCTCCGCTCCATTCCGGTCGTTTGTTCGTCCTTTCGCGCCGCTCGCAGCAGTTGTTCTGAAACCGTAGCAGGTGCCTAATTTGGTGCTCCTCAGGGCACAGTGTGAGGTGGTGCAGACCAACCCAGCCCAGCTCGCTTGGGCTCAATGTGGCACCCTCCCCTGTATCGGAGGCTGGCCATATGGGAATTGATGATGAGGAACGTGGCAGTTTGCCCGGTTAGGTGGCTGTCCGGCTAAAGTCGCCGCAGATTCGCCGACGGATTGCGCTGTGTCACTGTGTCGAGCCTCTGGATATGAAGATGGAGTGTTGTAGCCAGTTTTCTAGTTGGGATTGTCTGAAACTGAACCTTCAGCGAAGCCAGCGCGAACTGTTTCCTTAGTCATCAGCGCTGCGTAATTTAGGCTCTATCTCTATCACTGTGTGCCCATCTAATTTCAGCCTTCTGCCGCGGCAGCCACTTCTTTCCCCCCTCGGCCTGGCTTCTGCCACACCGATTCTGCAGCTTCAGAATTCCGGTCCACCTCTTTGTTGGGACCCGTCTGCTGCTTCTATCTAGTGCCTCTGACCTATCTAGAGGTCTCTTGGCTTGAGAGAGAATATTCAGGCCTGACTCTCTAACTACTCTTCACCCCTACCCTCATTCTTGGGAGCAGTCGAAACGAACGACAATTCTAGAGCTCCGCTAATCTCCGCATGTTTCTTGTTCTCTGTCATATTAATCATACTCTTCTTCTTTTTATTCTTGTGTCTGTTATGATTTGGTCTAGCCTGATTGCTCTAATCTGGAGGTTTCGGGGAATCTCCTTCTCCTTCATTGGCCAAGATATTTTTGGGCGAAGCTGGAGTCGATTTCCCGAGCCGGATCTGGACAACTAACCAGGTTATCTTCTACTATCAGCGAGGGCAGGTCGGAGTACGAACGGAGCAATATTCCAGAGAGCGTTCCTCTTTTCCATCTGCTGAGGTTTCGGTTGGTGCCGTTTTGGCGTTGTAGGGGTTGGGGTTGGGGTTGGAGAAGGGAGCCTATGTGGTGAAACTCTTTCTTTCCCTTCCTGCTCGCCTGCGTTGTCATGAATTCAGCATCCTGCTTCTGTCGCCTTGCTTGAGTCTCTTTGTTGATGGTACAGCACCTCGCTTGCTGGCTGACCATGACAATTCAGGGGATTTCAATAATTCCAAAGTGTGCCAACTGGCCACAGCTTTTTGGGTCAAGTCGGGTTCGGTTGGAGTGCAATGATTTGATGGTTCATGATCTTCTTAGTTCTCTGTAGTGAATGACTTATGCGCTATCATGCATCCGTTGCTAAGAGCTGCTTGCATCGCATCCCATTCCTTGACCTGCACACCGGCTCTTCCAAAGTAACACCTATCCTAGTTAACGTCAACCAGGTCATGCCATATTGCCAACCCCTGCAGAGGTGTTTTATTTTCTGATTTAACGTCACTTTGTGAAGATACTTCTATCTACCGTCAGAGCGTTTTGGGTTTTGACAACTAGGCATTATTATTCTGAGCAGGCAACAGGTCTGCGTCAAAAGAGATGTCGCCATCTTCATGGATGTACTTTCTTGTGAAGAGAAAAGAACCCACATGTCCCGTACTGCTTGGAACGATCAGCCTTTATAGTGACGTTTGTGTTTCAGGATGGCTTTTGGTTGGTTTCGTAGTGGTCTCCCTGTTATCTTGTACTAGGCACGGTCCAACTTCAAGGCCTTGGCTGCCAACTCTTACCCGAATTCTGTCGAAGTAACAACATAGATTAAGTTTAAGGTATGACTCTAGAGCCAAATTGCCAAATTGCCAAATTATGTGTACTATTGTTTCGATAAACTGGATTGTATTCACCGACAAAATACATGTATTTTATCGGAGAATCGTCGTTTCAGATACTTCATTTTTCACATACAGTTATAGCTAGCTAATTTTAGTCATATTTAGCGCCTTTAGGTTTGCTATCTACCTATATAGGTAGATAGGCAACACGTTTGGAGTCATGGTTGATGGGATAGGTGTAAAGAACAACACACCTAAACTAGATCTAACTTTGGTGTGGGAATCATCTTCATCCCATTTGATCATGGAGAAGTCGCTGTCAACCAATGTCTTATTTGGAAACGTTGAAAAAATGAAAAAAAATATGTGAAATGTTCATGGGTACTTATAGTCTTGTATTTCGAAACGATGAATGAAAGAAAAAAATATGAAATGTACTTGGCCATTATAATTTAGCCAAAAAAAAAGGACTCACAATTATTAAAACAAATATGCTGTAGAAATTATATGAAAGTAAAAAAAAATGAAAGATTAATATGAAATGTACCTCTGCTCCAGCCAAAAAAAAATAAAATTCACAATGAGAAAAACAAACATTCCACAGAAAGAAATAAAAGTAAGAAACTTAAAAATATGAATATATATGCGAACTATATTTTTCTTACTTCTTATCTTTTGTGTGCGCAACTTGCTCTAAACCTCTGAATAGATATTTTTACTCTAAATTTCTGAATTTTTTTTTTACTTTTTTATTTCTTACTTCTTATGTTTTGTGTGCACAACTTGCTTTAAACCTCTAAATAGTTTTTTTCTCTCTAAATTTCTGAATATTTTTTTAACTTTTTCTCTGTCTTTCGTGCGCAATTTAGATCCACAGTTTACCACCAAATATAAGCACATGCACTCACGAGATGTTTCGGGAACATACATTTTTGCAGTAACTCACTCCTCCTGGAGTTACTTGGCCAAAATTCCATATGATGTATGGATTTTTGGCCACATATATTTTGGCGTCTGAAAGTATAACAGATTGTAGGAGGCCTGGGCTAGGCCTCAAGGTTGGGAAGTATGTCCTTCTGCATCTAAGATACTCTAGCTATCTAGAACGAGTTCCAATACAATCAACTTAGACCTTTTTTAAGCACACCGTTCATTTAAGAGATGTGGAGGTTACACATTTGGTTTCACTTCGATCTTAGAGGGTTCTTTGGTCAGAGAGCCTCTCGAAGATTGGTAGTGTGCTGAGCGCCTTTCGATTTCATGATCGGTATACATGCCTTTGTCAGGTGTTAGGACTGTTATTTACATTATCATTCTTGTCTGCCTGGCTGTAAAGAGGTTCCTCGCCTGCTTTCATTTGATTTAATAAAAGTATAATTTTTGGTGCGATGAGGATTGAACTGACGATGGATAAACGACTGACCAGTATTGACCTTAGACAGAGTAATTTCATCGAGCAGAACGTTTTGTGCTTCTAACTTTTTAAGCTGTCTTCGTTCGGTTGAGCTTCATTGACATTGCAACAACTGAAGCTGCCACGGAAGGAGAAGTTCGTGTGGAGACCAAGTAATCAACAGTATTCAACAGATTTTAGCTGAATGTTTCTTACCAAGCGAAAGTGCCATTGACTCGAACTGAACTTTGAACGCATTTGACCTTCCTTCAGATGCAACAGCGTCACCGCTTTGTGTCATGGAAAGCACGTCACACAACTTGACTGCTTTAAATTTCACCATCCTTCATTTCAGCTCACAGGCAAGCGACAAAGATGACAAATTTGGGTGCTGACGGTGTTCTATTTCTCAAGAAATATTTATGGAGAGGAAAGCCCAGAGGAAAGCTCCGTAAGCTTTAGGTGGTTACTCCCATTCGCAAAAAGATTGCCACCCTTATATACCGAAGCTTTCAACTGAGGCTTTTCGCCTGGGGAGAGTTCACCTTGAGCGGAGGAAAATGGTGGAAAGCGTGCGGCTGGTTGTCATTGTAATCCACGTCACGGTAGCAAATCTTGGATGGGGATAAAGTGGTGGGTCCGATGGGGCCTTCGAAGAAACATATAGTAGCGTGGATTTGAGAAAGATGTTGTAACATTATTTGTGCTGGGTTGGGTGATCCAGACCTGCAAGCTGACGGTCGAGAGGAGTGCTGTTGCAAGGGTATTCATCTTCTTTTCTTTCACATCTTTCGCAGAAGTGATTATCGTTTAAAAAGGTGGGATGAGAGGCACAGACGAGAATTCGATCCACATGGCCACACGCACTCCTCTACCTCCACTGCAAACAAGTACTGCATGTGGGTCCCATGCGGAGAAGTGTCCCTCACAGCCTTCATACACCTCATAATGCCCTCTTTGATTCAACACTGCGTTCAGTGTGAGACTCACAGTGTACTACCGTATCATGGTGGAAGAGTTGGGAGATGGGGAAGTTTCCCTGGAGCTCCATGCTTCACAAAGCTTCCATGATTTCTTCATCAGTTTTACACACTTGCCTGAAGATTCTCAGCAAGATCCATCAAGTTTTATCAGGGAATGTCGTCGTTTCCAACTTGCAGCGGACGATTCGAACAAAGTCCAACCGTGGATTCAGTCTTGGACTTAAGGTATTTACAGCAAGCACCTCCATCAGGACCCATGACTTCACATGAGATTCACAGCATTGTCTTGGAGCAGGATGCGTGAGAAATGAAAGGTCAGGTGGAGGAAGTCTTGGCTTTTATCAACCAGAAGCTTCTTCATCAGAACCAAGAAAAGGCACCCTTTAGAGCATTGTCACCTAAATAACTAGGAAGAAACATGGTAGAAGCTGCAAGCCGGATTGAGAACGTGTGTTTCAACAATCAACTCGTTGGTAAAAGAAACAAAGTCTGGAGGCGGTGATCACTGTTGGCTATACACGCTAGTCATCATCCTAACTTTGGTATCAATGTTGACGTTTGTCTTCGCTGAACTTACTCTCCCACCGACAACTCTCAGACAATTTCGAGGAAGAACCTTCTATGAAAGCTTAATAAGGAATATAGAATCCGGTGGCAAGGATGGGGAATCACAAACCCTAACTACTGACGACAAGGACAATGGGCCTCAGACAGAAAGCACATGAATAATTTGGAATGGTGTTGTGGGAAAATGTGAGAGACGCAGATCTCTCGAAAAATCTTCGGTGAGTAGCAGGGCAGAAGGACAGCGGGAAAATGTGGTGGTAGCATCGGGTATGGAAAAAAATAGCGAGCCTTAGAAACCAACGCATCATAATTCCGGACCCTCTGAATTGAAGAAGATTTGATAAACCTGGTCCAACTAAACGAGCACTTGGAAGGCATCCATGTGGATCCCACAACGACCACCCTATCGTCAATCTCAAACTGAACTCTCGACAAGTTCTGTACATCTCTGGAGGAATTCCACCGCGCTAGTCATGCACTCTTAGGTCTTCTATGTGGATCCCACTACCTAGGGAACTGAGTTGGCAAGTGGATTAATATCCCAAGCGCCGAAGAGGGAGATAGGCTTTTGCCAATCTGCGAGCAGTAGCTGATGAAGGCCACAATCCCACACATATCATGTTTCACGGCCTAGTCCTCCAAAGTTTGAGGAATGAGCTCTAGAATAATCCTGTTGAAACTCCATATTCTCGCCTTTTCCGCGAGACTATTAGGAGTAGCCAGAGTATCTGTCTGTAGATACTCCGTTCCATTTCCTGTACTCCGAAAGTACACAAAAAATGTCCTTAAGGATCTATTTGAAGAGCATTTGTCTCATTCAGTGTTTGGAGCGGGTGTAAGGAACTGCATTACGGATCCGCTTGGTTGTGTCTACAGCAGTTCGACCATCCTGTTATTTGGTACGGACCCAACCTAGGCCATTTTAAAACCTAGGCCCATCTTACAGTAGGTCGGTTGCATTGCAAATGTGGAAGGCCCTTGTACCCATTGGCTATCCTCGCTCTCCTCGCCCTCCTCCTGCACCGTGGATGCCTGCTAGCTTTGCGGGTAGTTCAGTGGCTCTCTAGGCGTTCTTCAGATACTTTTATCCTTGCAGCTCCTCTGAGTGGCTGCAATCATCTCTCCGTTGGGCTCTCCAAACTCGTCCCTGGTTGTAGTACACGCGGAGGGCTTCTCTCCATTCTGTAAAACATACTGAGACCTTGTTGACCCCATGCGGACGGGGAGAACCAGTATCCTGTGTATCTTTGCGAGGGAAGGCACGAAGGCTTGTGCAACCGGACGCGGATTATCTAATAGACCTGAAGATATTGAAGCTCCTAATCTCCTCGTCTTTGATATTTCTTTTTTGAAGACAACGAGTATGCAGTTGTCTAAGAATCTATGACCGTACATCGTGTAATGAAGGGACATCAGACTCCTAGTATGTTCAAAACCATTTGTCCAAAAATACAACATAAAAAAGTCACCACATAGAGAAACAGAGTCCAATCACTCAGTCTCGGTAAAATCTCAGAAAGTTTATAAGTATTTTAACAGGCAATCCCAATCTTTTAAAAAGCCTCCAGTATCTCTGCGTACAAAGTGTGCATCCGCGTGAACAGCACAAAAGATTCCAAGGGCTGGGCTTTATTGAAAAACTAAATACAGAAGCTCAACCTCTTTAGGTGAGTCTTTGTGACGATTTGTCCACTTAGATTCGTCTCTAACCCCGAGCTTTTTGTAGGGCATCCCTTGGAAGACTCACGAACGACACCACCTCAACGCAAGGCACTTGCCCTGTCTTTCTGTATGTATTCAAGACGATTCATCTGTATTATGGTGGTGACAAGAGTTATTGAATGACTTGTCTTGCTCTCCCTCAGGCTAAAGTTCTGAACCAAGCCAAAAGACTGCTCAAACCTTTACTTAAAAGAGGTGAGTTCTTCTCCACACCTGGCATTAAAAGATCCAATTGTAAGAACGTCGACATCCTGTGCAGTCGGCAATAAACTACAGTGAACAATAGTGCTGCTTTCTACGGTCTTCCTAGGGGCAGACAGCAGAGTCCATTTCAATTACAGTTAACATCTACTAATTCTCTACACCTTTAATTCGTACATGTGACATATGAGCATTGGGTTGAAATTTCCTAGTAATTAGAATGATAACTTCCGTTCAAATTACTAAAAAACTTCCAAGGTTTTCCAAGAGATGGAACTGCTTTTAATGGAAACTCCAAAATGAGAATAAAATCGTGGAACATCAGCACGAAATGCGCTTTCCCCACAAAAAGCTTACCGAGATCTGCCGCAACCCGGTGGGCGCACATTACACCGGAGAAGCACACTGCAATTACACCTTGCCCTGGAAAGCAGCTGTCTCCAACACAGTACAAGTTGTCCACGGCCTGCCAAAAAGCCATTCAAGTGAAATCCGATTGCTGACTCATCTAGGAAAGCGAGCCCCAGGTGTGGTCACTTTAAAAAATTGATGAGGTAAGTAAAGTTTTCGACTGAGCCTAATGGTCGTGATATGGATAAAGTTGAATCGTTCCTGGTGGATTCACTTCATAAACCTGATATTCACATATTCAAGCAGCTGTATTAAAATTTGAGCAGATCATGACCATTTTAATCTCACCGTTGTATTGAAGGGCATTCCTAGGAGACCTTTCGGGATACCAGCCGGTATAGGTCCGTAAGTGCCATCGTCTCTCGCAAGAAACCTCCGGTGTGTCTTGGGCGAACCAGCCTGGAAAGAAGACGCAATCAAGTTGAGAAAGGTAAGATTGAAAATAGTCCTTGAATAACCAAAGGCAACTAATCCATTGAGATAGCCAAGGAAAGACTTACTGAGAGTTTCTTCTCAACAAAAGCGGCCGGCAGATGCACTACGTCCGCCTCATGAAAGAGTCACTAGATGACATATATTCCTAGTAAGGCTAGATTACCTCACGAAATGTGGTAGCCGCCTTCAGCCCAGGAAACAGCTTCTTCTCGAGCCTTTCAACAATTTCATCTGCTATAGCTTCCTTCTTTGCAACGTAGTTTTCACGGGAAAGACCCTGCTTGGAGCAGAGGAGGAAGCTGCGTTATTTCCTTCTAGGCCTATGTCAGTTGATGGTCAGAGACTGCAAAGGATATTCATTGAGAAGACTGGGAAACGCAGAGCGATGAAGGAAAAATACGGATGGACTGAAATCAAATCGTAGGTTTAGGTACGTTGTAAAAATTATTTAATTCCAAAACATCCAATAGGAGTGCGATAAATCCTGAACGGAATGGCGACACTGGAGATGGTCTCAGGGCTTTACCTCAAAATCATCAATCCAAGACGTGGTGAAAATGTGCAGAATGTGGTGGCCCTCGGGTGCCAAAGTCTTGTCTAATATAGTTGGAATGCTTAGGAAGATGGTCCGATATGGTTCCTGCAGCCTTGACCAATCATCCTGTGTTCAACAGGAAGTAACCGAGTTAGGCAAGAAATCTACTGCGAAAGAGATGCAGTATATGACATGTTATCCTTGCATCCACAAGTTTAGTGAGGCAACCAGCCCGAGGACTTTGCCATTAGCAAGATCGATAGGTTCTGAAGAGTAAAGTTGCACGTGAAAAGACATTCATGAAGAGGTAAGCCTATGATAGCAGTCCCCGAAATAATAGTAGATGACTAAAGGAGGACATGGGGCACCACTTGTGCTGGTGATTCAAACCCATATTGGAAATTAAGATGTAAAACCCAATTTACTCTCAGTGGTTATACATGCAGTTGATGAGTGAAAATTATAATAACTATATTCTCAGTGTATTCTCAGTGTTTCCTTGACAAAAAAACAGCTCACCTCAAGAATGAAATGATGACAATCTGTTCCTTCTGGCAGCACATCTGCTTTCACTCCCATGTGTATTGAAAAAAAAGAAGGAGATTTCTTGTAACATCTTTGAAACATTCGCTCTCGTTCAGGCATTTGAGAAGGGTTGAGTAATTTCTCTGGATGGGACAAACGCAATCACACAGAAAAGCTCTCATGTTAATGGACCTGCGAGTGAGCACCTGTGTATAGTACCTGTCTGATCAGGACAGTGAAAAAGATTTCCGCAACATCACTTTCCTGAGTGAAGAATATCCACGAAGTGATTTTATGTACGTATCCTCATAACAGCGTCTTTCATGATAATTGCGTACAGGAAGCTCCTGTCACAAGGACTTGCAGAGTAATCAAGAACTCAGGGCATGTACCAAATGTGTCCCATCTTGTTGCATTTGAGATAATTTTCTTAGCATAGAGCTTCTTGCCATTTACAAGTTGAACGCCAATCTGCACAGCCAGAAAATGTGATGATAACCGGGAGTTTACTGACACCTCATAGAATGCCAGCAACAAAAGAGGTAAAAAATCTATTTATAGAAAGCTGGGCTATCAGAGAGCAGATACAAGTTCAGCGTCCGCTTTTAAACCAAATATGTGGTTTTAAGGCAGTCTTCTCAGTCTCATCACTCTTGTCGACATGAACATGCTTACCGCCTTCTCGTTTTCAAGAATGATGGACTTCACATTTGCCTTGTACTGAATCTGACCACCCTTCTCCACTAAACCCTCGGCAAGCTGTACAGCAATTCCACCCACTCCACCAACTGGATAGTTGATTCCACCATAATGTCTATCGCAGATGACCTGCGGACATGTTTTCATTCATCAACCAACGAATGGGGGCTTAGTTTAGTTTATAAGTTCTCCATACTGATAACATGTTATGATCATTATACAAAGTGACTTCTTCGTGACGCAAAAGAAATGGCTGTACCATAGCGCAATTGATCATTGGAGTGCGCATGGCGTCCACCGTGCTCACTATAAAACACTGCACAATCACGATGGAACTGCACGACGTGTCATATTAATCAAATTTGATAGATAAGCACAACAATGACATTCGGTTGAAAACCTCCAATGATGATATATTTTCACATATACGTTATCAGCGTATGAAACCCTGTGAATTCCACCAACATTGTGCTCAAAGTCGCCGAACTTGTCCGACCTCTGCGTCGATGTATGAGAGAAGCTCAGGGTCCTTGATGTGCTTTCGAGCGATGGCACCGGCATTTTGAGGCAAATAATAAGCTGATGAAAACATGGAAACTTCTATTAAGCAGTGATAACTTCAATCACATTTAAAAAATAAAACCGACATACTACAACAATTTGAAACACTTTGTAGTTCAAGAGTATATCGAGTGTAGGCACTACTTTATACAGTCTCCATGTTGCGTTGCACTTTTTTAGGTGATAACTGATAGTAAAGGTAAGAGGAAAATCTAAATTCTTGAAGTTCATAAATCAACTTCAGAAGTTCATTCATCTCACCCAGAGTCAAACAGGCAGCAGGATTTTTGAAGAATTGTCCAAAAAGATACAGGGGCTCCTCAAGCGACTTAAGCTCCAGTGCATTCAGAGCGTTGAAGACCTGGGCAGCAAGAAGGATAAGAAAAATGTCATAAATAAAGTAAGGAAATCTGGTCATTCTCTTCATCCGCTACATTAAACAACCTTATAAAATTAACAGCGAGATAATAAAAAACGAGAAAACAAAGGCCACGTGACAGAGTAAGTGTACCCTCCAGCATTCCCCGAAAAAGCCGTCAATTCCTGCTCTTTCTTCAGGAAAGCGCTTGTATAGCTCATTCAAAAAATCTTCAAACTTTCGATGTACTTGAACGTTGAAGTCATTAGGCAGATGATAGTGAACGGTTGTAGGGTCCGGAATAAGCTCCATCTTCCTTCCGACAGCTGCCAGAGCTCGAGTGACTAGGTTTATATTCCCCTGGATTCGACTCATCACAATTACCAAACAAACTGAGGTTCTCTCTTCCACGACTTGCAACACCTTTCCAAGTTGAAATATACTAATTTTCCTGATCGCTTGAACACTCGCATGTAAATTGCGGGTAAATTGTTCGGAGCTTCAATCACCATCTCAAGAAACAACATCATAAGCTTAATGGGGAAATCAAACTGTCTGACACTCAAAGGTGGGATTCTCGTTTGCAACTATACAGACACAGAAATTTCTTTGCGCTAATAAGACACAATTTTCCGACCTTTTCACTAAATCCGAACATAACAGATGATCCAACATCGAAGGTGTAGCCTTCACGCTTGAAGTAGCCAGAGCTGCCGCCAGGAATAATGTACTTCTCCAGTAAGAGCACCTTAACATTCCGGATCGCTAGCTGGGTTGCCGCAACAAGCCCGCCCATCCCCGAGCCAATTACGATGGCATCATACTCCTCTGTACCATCTTTCTCAACAGCTGCTTGCGCGCTTCTTACAGAGATGCTTCTCCCCACCTTAGCTTCCCTAATCCCACTAATCCTGCTCTGCTCTCGAATCAAATTCCCTCTCCCCGCCCTCTGCCAACGATAAAAAGCTGGAGCACACTTCAATCCAACTCCAAATGAGACACCCTTTTCCAGTGACCGACGTTTCTTCCCATCACCACCACAATCACCCCTGCTTCGAGCAACACTAGGTACGCAGTAAAGCGTTGGTCCAGCCACGGCAGCCATGGCAGCGGAAATCACAGAAATCAGGCGAACAACAAAGGCAACAGCACCTCTATCGACATCAACATCTACACCAGCAATTCATTATAAAGCTGCTCGTCTGGTTCTTATAAACACTGGAATAAAACTCAAGGAATTTTAATCGAAGTTGATGAAGACATCGCGGAGTAAAATAGACTGCTGAATAAAGGGAAGTTGACGTTTGAGTTAGGACTTGGAATTGTGACAGTTTCAATTACTGTACTGCTGATGCTTTCGCGCAGGTTCCTATTCCGTGGGCATAACAGCAGGACTTAAGCCAATGAGCGAGTGCTGCTCCGAACCCAATCTGCTTTGTCTGATACAGACAGAGGAGCACTTAGTAGACGCCACGTCCTCGTTGTCATTCGTAGATGGGTCAAGGAGGTGTGTGTGTGGGAAATTAGCAGGCGAGATTATTTGACTCGCCGAGCATGCCGCTGATAGAGGCAGCGTGTCGTTTTACGATATCGTTCGGGCATCACCTTGGGCTTGTTTCTAGCCCCCGAACCGTACCAGACGAGAAACTGAGTACACAGCAAGTACCGAAAAAGATGGATAGAAAGTAGTACAAGGATGAAACCAAAGGGATAAGACCGCCCGAGTTGAATCTACGAATCTAATGAATTGTATGTGACAATTTTCCTGTTTCCTCCCGGGATACTATTGCAAAACGAAGTTTTCCTGACGGTCTTATCTTCATATTCCAGCATACATCTTACTCCACGTTACAGCATATCAAGGTGGAACTAGATACCTCACATCTACGGAATACTATTGTAAATACATGTTGTACACAAGTGTCACATATTTCCGTTTTATCCGTTCTTTTAACTCTAACCTCCACGTTATTTATGAAGACATACAATGTTGCATATCTTCATCGATTTACATTTAGTTTGTTACATTCAATTTAGTACAAAGGGTTTGGTATCCATTTATTTAGTTTCTTTGTTATGTTTTGTGAAATCACAGGTTTTTTACATGAATTATTTAATTGATGGGAACCATAGTAACATGAACATTTCGTTTTACTCGATGTGACCCCACCGATGGTGTGCCGTAGGTGAGTTGTGATACGTGTTCTTGTATATATATTTGTATGTCCCCAAGGCTGAGACGGTCAAGAGTGTCCAAGGTCTCGCAGCAGCCAAGCAGTACAGTACTTTGCTACCCGTCAATGTCCAGTGGCAAAACGTACATGTGATTTTGGACTTCGAGATCGGTGCCCTGTAGTGATCTCGAGAAGAATTTGAAGTAGTCTATTTTCTGAAGCAAATGCAAATGCTGAGCAAGGATTTGAGTTTGCTCAAAGAAGATCTCAAGTTTTTGTGATTGATGTTGTGGGGCAGCAAGTGTATAGATGTCGAAACTCAAAGTACATATTACAAGGTACTGAAAACTTTACTCAAAAGTAGAATAGGTTTTAAGGCTGGACAAGACTAGCTATCAAAATTATAATTGGAAGTCAAGTTCAATCAAAAGTCTTTGAAATATCAACTTGTAATATAAGAAGAGCACCATCATCCAATTCAGATGTAGATCTTGAGTTTTTGCACGCATTTATCGATCGATCCTAGCAAATTCAGCAACAATCGGACGACGATTCATAGTCAGAGCTTCACTGCGTTGAGACAAAGCGTCTTACAATGAGCGTTGCAAGCTCCACTAAGTTGCAACCATGCTCCATTGCGTTGCGACAGAGCCACTACACCGTCTGTACATACTAGAACATGTGTGACGTGTACCGTCTGTGGGGTCCCATCGGGTAAAACAACACTTGATGGGTTCCATGAAGCAGTTTACGTTCTGATGGGATCACATCAAGTAAATACCTCACTTTACATACTAAAAAAATGTAATTTATATTAAAAAATATAAATTTTTGGATAAATTTGTTTATATTGATATGCGACATTTATAACTTATCATTTTGATAAATAAATCAATAAAATTGAATGTATTGTTAATCTTCAATGATTCTATCAATTTATTAAATACATGTATAGTATGATAAATTGAAACTATATGTTTGTAATGTTGGAATAAAGAGCTGAGATCATTCAAAAGCTTATACACAAAATCTAAAAATGAAGTATATTTAGAATGATTATTTTTTCTTATACAGGGCTACAAAGTTTATTATTTAACTTACATTATCACACCCAATTTTCTTGGATATATGACATTGCAAAAATATTGAACAACACAAGTATGGTTGAATTGACATATTGAAATCTCTACCTACCAAGTACACAAATTGATGATTTGACTTAACATTGGAGAGTAAAAATGAAAGTGAAGCTCACACAAAAATAAACACAAAACTTAAAAGATGAAGGTTTTTAGAATAATTCTTTGTTTTTCTCTATACATTATAAGTGATCAATAAATCATCCATTTTGTGATTGATGACTAAACTTTCCTTAAGTGGTTTGATTTTCATCAATACATCAAATTGAGAACTAGATACAATAATGTATGATATACTTCAATTAGAATGCAATAATGGTGTACATTGCATGTTCAATATTCAATAAAGATCAATGAAAATGAAACAAAATTTTCACAGAATGTTAATAGAAGAGAGTTAAGAGTAATTAATGATTACGTTGGCCAGAAAACATTAAATGCGTTTTTTGAAAACCAAGAAATTTTCAGTGAAAAAAAATCATTACAGTGTTAAGATTTCCAAATGAATAGATTAGGTATATATATAAAAACTCTAAAATATGTGTCTAAACAACAAATTTCCTCAACAAAATGAGTTCAACGTTTTCAACCTGAAATTTGTGAATGTGAAGTGCAACGAAAACAACTTGCAAGCGTTTCCAAACATATTACAAGTCTTTATCATGTTGTGGAAGTGAACATCCGAATAGATCAATGAAGCTAGATAACACTTGACAAAGAAAAAATTAAAGAGAGCATGAAAGCATTGCAATTTGACACAAAGTCAAAGTTTGAGATTTAACATTTTACAACCAACATATATGGGTTATGAAATATCAAGATTTACGCATAATGATTTTATTTAAAATCATGATTCATAAATTGCAATCATGAGAAAGTAAAAATAGTAAAAATTATAATCAATATTGTATACCTTGTCATAAAATACAATGCAAATAATCAGAAACTGGCTTATTTATTACAATAATTTCATATTATCATCATCAATAATAACTATTATACTATGATTTTTGTAAGTGATTTTAAAAAAATAAGATAATTTGATTATGATTTCTATGAATAAAATTAATGAGTTAATTCATATAAGATCAATCACAAAAATTGTATCAATTTCACAACTTATTTAATTGTATCTAGCTTCATTTTTTTCAGTATGGCGTTAACAAAGTTTTATTTATTAACAAAAGTATTGATTTCAGTCATTTGTTTTGAAACATTTTATTTAGTATTTTTCAAAGTAAAACCAAAAGTGTTAATTACCATTATCCTCAAACTGCTGCATAAACAGTGAAAATATAAAATAACACAAGATATGTTAAGTGCATTTAGTGAAAAGTGGTAAAAGTGAAATACTCACTATTATTTTCATAAATTTTTCATGTAACATATTTTTAAATAATTAAAAAAAATTCATTAATACACATTCTATAATTCCATCAAGTTTGATGAAATTTTTGAAGAGAGAAGAGATTTTTTGATAGTCTACAAAATTTTATAAAAACATCTTAATTTCTCTTAAAAAAACATCAAAATTTCATTCTATATTTTAATTATATTTTTAAATATCAAAAATTCTTCATAAAATCATACAAGTTGAAACTTTTTTCACATAGAAATATATATCATATAATTTATGTGTCACAAGTGCAAAAACATATATTAGAATCAAAATAATTCATCAATATCACATACTCTTTCAATCTTGATGATTGATCATGAAGCAATTGAAAAGTAATAGATACTTAAAAAATGGATTTCATAGGTTTTTTGTTCAAGAATAGTTGATTCAATAAAGGGTTACTATCATATAAATCAACTTAAATACCAGCTAATATTCTAGCTAGCTCAACGTCTATGCAACGATGACGTTGCATCTTAAGAGGAAGGAGATTTATAACTTTGTTTAATTACTTAAAATTTAAGTAAATAATCATCAGAATATGATTGATTAATTTATAATGAATTTTTTATAATTGTCGTATGAGTTATTTGTGTGTTTGATATGTAAAGATTAAGTGTTTTAGATGAAATCTTTGTTGGTTGTGGATTTTATTTGTCATTTAAAAGCAAATGATTCAGAATTAATGTCCTTGTTAGATTTATTTTCTATTTCATCAATCCATTAAGAGTGAATGATTTATGAGTATTACATCTTTTTTTTTAACATATTGGAAAAAACTATAAAAATAAGAAAAGAATCATTTCATGTATCTTTCATTTAAAGTTCATTTTCAAATAATTTTTTTGTATTCATTGATGTTAAATTTTATTTATGTCTGCAATAAATATTTTGAAGTCAAAAAATCTGTTTATCTTGTTGGCAGTTATTTAAAGTCACTATTTAAGCTATACGCTAGCGTTAGAATGAATCTCATAATATATAACTATTATATTAAATTTTATGTCATGTTTATGATCAAATAAAAAATCACAATGCAAAATCAGCACACACAAAAACTACCAAACTGCAAAAAAATGTGACTTATCACTAAGTGCTAAGTTCAAATAAAAAATTTTAACTTCCAAAAAATCCTTATTGTGTTGGTGAGATATTGAAGAGTTCTTTATGAATAGATTATGTAGCTAAACAAACCAAGATAGGTTTATTAAAGTTATCAAAACTTGAGTTTAGTCTGAACACAAAATTTAACACAAATCCTGTTAATGTGATTAATTACATAACACTTTTTGTGTTAATATATGAATGTTTGACAAATTAAAATTTCTTTTATTATTTGAATGAAATACATATATTTTCATACAAAAAAAATTTAGAATTAAATTGGATACTTTTTCCAAAAAATGGCTTTTTTTGTTATCAAAGTGATACAAAAGATTAAATAATAAGTAATCTACTCATTTGTAAGTTGATTTTGAATAAAATTTTTTTGATCATAATTAGATCATCAAACATAATAAATATCTTAGAATATTCATATCAACTAAGGAATATCTACTCTTCACATTGTTGAGGAGGAGATAATTAATGATGCTTATAATTACAAGCAACTGCTTCATTTAAAAAAATTGTACAAAATAAGTTCAAATGCGTGAAGAAGTTTGCAAATGTGAGTATTTCAAGATTAGATAAAATCATTAATAAATGTGATGTTAGATCACTTTATTATAAATATAGGATTCAAACATCACATTTATAATTGAAAATTTTGATACACGAAATGATTTTATTGATCTTATTTTGAAGAGTAAAATTCTTCTTGATGATATTATGGATTTAATTATTTGAAAGATGAGTATTCTTCATAGATAAAAATTCAAATATTTTCACACAAATTGGATAGAAATGCATCAATGAAAAATGAAATCATTGATTTTTTTAAAAAACTTGAGAGATCAATAATTGATAAATTATATATAAACTAAAAAACAATTTTATTGAAAGTTCTTAAAAATGTGATTTTCTACTGATTGTAGTCAAATTATTCATACAAAAGAAATGTGTGATTACAATGAATAAATCTATGAGTGTTTTCATATGAAACTATTCTTTTGTTTTGTAAACTTTTGATTTTGTGTGATTCTATTTTATACCAAATGAATGATGTTGTTGCTAAAATTAAAAATAATTAAGATAAAACATGAAACATGATTAAATAAAATATAAAACATGCTCAAAAGCTTTTATTCAACATCAAAAATTGATGTGATTTATTCTTCAGCTTTTCATATTAAGCTTTTATCAATTTTTCATTTGAATATTACAAGACAAAAGTATTGATATCCAAAACTTTTTACAATCATTTACTAAAGAACTTGTAAGTTTTTTATCATTTGCATTAGAATGAATATTGCTATTATTAGCAAAAATATTAACAATTACACATCAAATCCAAGAAAAATAATAAATTTGTGTGAAATGAATTTTTTAATTTTTTGATGTTATGTTAAATTTGATGTCGTATATTGATGCAAAATTGTATGATCTATTTAAATTAAATGACTTTGTAGATGATGACTATAAAAAATAGTGAATAAAAATAATTGCCATGTAATTATTGTCAAATTGTTGATGTCTATATGTTATTAAAGTTTTTTCATAATGTTTCAATACATTGTTTCAATTTGTTAATAGTTTACTAGATTTGTTCACAAATTAAATATATCAATTATCAAAATTGGAATTTCAGAGATATGAGTCAAGCATATCAAAACTAGAGATTAATTTAGGTCTTGAATTTGATTATTTTAACCTTGAAATGTTTATCAAATACGTAGGTCATTATGTAAAAACATTTATCGTTGCTCCCATGACACAATTGAAATTTTATTGCTAAATCAATATTTTTATTTTGTGAAAGAACTCAAATAAGAAAAATTATATATCTTGACAATTGAATCACTTCATGTTGAACGTTGGGTATGTGATCGAAGCTCTCCTTAGAATTGAACCTTGATACTTCACTTATGATGCTTGTCCACAAACACGTATCTCATTTAAATAATCCTCTGCATACAACGACTTTTATATGCATGATACTCATTACCTTGAGATTCTTTTCATAGAACCACAAGCTTAACTAACTTGAACATTAAGATTTAGAGAGAAGTTCACTCAAAAATGGAAACATAAGCTCTGAATATGAAAGATATTAACAATGATTCTACTTTCTCTAATATATATCTTACGAACAAGTACAAGGAGATAATATCTCATTCACACCATCCAATCCACGTTGCATGTTAAAATAAAATATGTTTTTAACCATCTTTAGTTAGTTAGAACTTAAATATAGATTACTCAAGATTGAATAGAGTATATAGTAGTGGAACAATGCCACGTTGGCAATCCGTGTGCTTGTTAGGTTAGTATTGAGCGTGCTAGTTGGTGTGTTAGTTGGTAACGACACATTAGCAATTCGTGTGATCATTAGATTTATCCGTCATGTTATCAATCCACTAAGAATGAATTGGATGGTGAAGATTATCGCTTTGGACTTGTTGATAAAAGCTATATAATGAGGAGTAGAACCATTGTTGGGATCTCTTATCTTCAGAGTTTATGTGTCCATCTTCGAATATGCTTTTCTTTAAACACTAGTGTTACACTCTGCTAAATATTTAGTAGATCATGTGGCGGATGTTATCATTTTTGACTACTTTTCTTGGAATTCAAATTTCAAATTGTCTTTAGTAAGCGTAACCTCAAGTTGCCAAGGTAAACCAGAGTTATAAATTGTGGAAAATGAGCAGGTAGTGCTAAGATCTTCAAGGTAAATCAGAATTATAAATGATGAATTGTGAACAAGAAGAATTAAGTAAATTTGTAGATTGATTTGTGTCTTTTCTCACTTGTAAAATGGTTGAAATAACAAAATGAAAGTAACGTAACACGACGTAAGAATGTACGAGGTTGTATGGTGGGATTATGTGGACATCTAAATTGTAATAAATCAAGTTTACGGAACCATCATGCTCAATTTTTTCTCACGTTTCTCCTAGAACATGATGTGGAAGAGCATAAACATGACGGGCGAGAGATTGCAAGGAAGATCTGCGGCAACAAGGGGGACTCAACGTAAGGTTTGTGATGTGGTTTCATGCGATGTTAGTGGCAAGCAGGAGCCGAAGTAAAAGGTTGGGAGTTAGACTAGAGCAAGAGCAATGAAGAATGAAATTCAATTTTTTTTGAAAATTATAGTCACAAAAATTACAAGAACCGTCACTGTTAAATAGTTACATGTCACTATTTCCAATAGTGATAGTACCGTTCTTATTAAATAGATTTACAAGTTAAAACCTAATGATTTTTGAATTCTATGTCACCATTGGGAGTATGTCACTCATAAGAGGTAACACTATTTGGAGGTTTAATTCTCTTAGAAACGAGGGTTGTAGAATATCAATGTCAAGTAGATGCTAAGATGAGTATGATTTGAACTTGATTACTTCAAGAGTGACACCTTACAATCTCAAAACTATTGTTTTAGTTGAATCTACACTTGATAGAAATTTGAAGAGTTTGATTACAATCTTTGTAGATGGAGAGTGAGTAGAGTGACAAAATCCAAGTACTTCAATTGTACAATAATCTTTAAAACTGACTTTTTTGCTTTTGGAATTATTACATAAGAATATGGATAACGATTTCTACATAGATGTGAGGGAATGAACTATTAGTCTATGTGATAGCCTTACCTAATGTTATACACAAGAAAATAAATTGTTTTAGTTGATGACTCTTTGAATATTTGCAAATCATAAGATAAAGATAAGTCTGATGTTCTTAATTTAATAAGAAATATGTTCCATTATTAGAGTATTGTGGCTAGATAGCAATTCGCATTTTGTTTCGCCACTGCTCAGCTTGACTATGTAATTCCACACTTCTTCTTATCTACCCATCCCATTTTCCCTCTTAAAATCTTTACTTTAACCATCCCTATTATCGGTCTTGAAGGAAAGCATTTGGCGCATCTTCAACTCAAAATAATCTTGCCTGTTCACTTCGGTTAATTTTGAAGATAGTTCGGATGGTTAGTGAGGGTCACGCTTTCATGCTCTGCATTTTGGTCGTTGGATGTTCATGCTTGCTCCGCAGCACACGAGGTCGGACCACGATCATCACTTGACAGATTCCTCATTACCTTTGCAAAAACGTGGTTTGATAAAATTTGCGACGTCCGATCTTGTGCTTAGGAATCGATGGAATCTTGATCACGCAGGCAGTTGAGCGAAATCCGAGCGAGAGTTGTGGTCAATGTTCGGATTCGTGATGAATTCGAGGAGTACGTCTGGAGAAGTGGAGTAATGGCGGAGTATCGCCTTGTTGCCAGTTAAGGGAGATGACTGTCGAGGGTTTGTTTCGAGGGTACAAGCGATGGAGTCCTGTGCATCCCACTTTCGGCGCTTTTCGGGGAATGGGAATCGGATTGGGCTGCGGCGTAGGATGGGGCCCAGGGTTTGGCCCAGATGTCGTGGGCTATGTGGGCGCCGGTTGTGGACTGGGGTTTAGTGTGGGCATTACGCTCATTGGTGTTGGAGTGGGCCTTCCAGTAGTAAGTGGAATCACATGCCTACCCTATAAACTGTTTTTGTTGGCGGCCGACGAAGCTCTCAGAGTTACCTCGAGCCATGTGATCCCGATATTAAAATTTAGGCTTGAACAAACCTGGACTGCCCTAGTCGTCCGATCGAGTTCTCTTGAGAGCGGCGTCCGAGACAGGTACCACGATCTGTTTTTGTCAAAGGGCAGGGAAGCCATGGACAGTCTACGGATCAAGATCTCGAGCACGACACAAAGCATCCCCGAAATCGAGTCACCCACTAGACAAAAGTTTTACCACCGCTTGCAGGTGAAAGCATTGCCAGGTTTGCAGGAGGCCTCAAAACAGGTTTCCCCTAAAGCACGTGCTGCTGAGCAGGACATTGAGATGACCGAGGTCGCCGAGAAATTCTACTTTGAGTACGTTATCGGCTCTCAAGTCAGCTGTCGACAGGTGCAATCATGTACTGCTCGCGAGGGATTGAAAAACTGTTCACTGAAAGTACACTATTATAGTTCTCCTTCCAGACTACGAGACTGGGACAAGAACTTCCAAATATACGTAGGAAGTGGAGGCGAGAACAGGCAGAGTCCACAGTAACATGCATCATTGTCAACTCGTGATCTCATGCGCGTGACTTTGGATCTGGTTCGAGCGCGAACCACATGCTAACACCCTCAAGAAGGAGGCAGTGGAAGAAGGACTATAGGCCAAGATTAATACCTTAGCAAGTGACCTAGTGGCAAATCAAGATACGTCCGGCATCGTCTAATGTGTTCCTACCACCTCCCTAGACTTTCTGCAATATCCTCACTTGCTCAACTCTTGTAAATTGTTGAGGATGTCGCGTGGTGCTCTACCTCACTAGTCTTCGTACTATTACAGCGGGAGCATATTTACTTCCTAAGACTGAGATTTTTCCTGCAGTTGACTTAGGGTTGTAGCAGTAGTCAGTAGAATCTCGTAGCTTGATCCTCTTTTCCTCTAAGTGAGGGGCCGGGTTTCCTACTCTTTGGCGTGGGACATAAATACCGGTGGGGCCGGCTCAGAACGATTCATTGATCCACTGTCTCGACAGTCAAGACGTTGTGAAGACGGCAGAACAAGTGTTCAGGGAATAAGTACAAGAGGCCTAATGTTAACCGTTTCCATCTGATCATTGCTCGAAAGTGCGTACATACGTAAGCATACTGTAGTCTTAGTATATCAGATCTAATTCCGTGACTACAGCAGCTATTTCTCCACTTTCATCTGCTCGTATCATAATGAATTTCCGAGACTTGCGTTGGAAGTTCTCCACGGCTGCTCTTCCTTCGCCTTTCCAGTGAGCCAGTTGCATTTCTTCGGCCAAACGAACAGCAGCTATTTCTCCACTTTCATCTGCTCGTATCCTAATGAATTTCCGAGACTTTGCGTTGAAAGTTCTCCACGGCTGCTCTTCCTTCGCCTTTCCAGTGAGCCAGTTGCATTTCTTCGGCCAAACGAACAGCAGCTATTTCTCCACTTTCATCTGCTCGTATCCTAATGAATTTCCGAGACTTTGCGTTGAAAGTTCTCCACGGCTGCTCTTCCTTCGCCTTTCCAGTGAGCCAGTTGCATTTCTTCGGCCAAACGAACATCAGTCACAAAAGACTTGACTTTGGTTACTCCAAGTGAAATAGCAGCGTTGACAAAAGGTCAATGTGCACTATTGTCATCAATAGACATCGCCCGCGCAAATATTTACAGTAGAAGATCTGCTTCAGAAGTCTTAGGCCTAGTGGGCGACCGAAAGCATGTCTTTGAGAGTTTAATTGTGCCTGTGATGCAATTTCAACGGATATAGAGTTAGTGATAAATGACTATGTATAGTGATTAGATGACACTGTCTAGTCCAAAAATGGACAGTCGATGATGAATGCAAAATACCGTACGCACAATCTGGTTACAAGTTGAACATGAGCTCATCACGTGTGCGTGCTGCTAAGCTCCAGAATCTACAGCATAATTCGTCTACGGAAATTATGGCACATATAATTATGCTTCCACACAGTGGCACAGACCACGGCCAACGTATAGTGTACTTCCCTGGAGGACTTGCACTAAACAGACCATGGCTCCAACGTCGAAGCCTAAACCAATGAGACAAGAGTGGGAATAGTTTGCACCGAACAACGGCTGATGGTGGAGAAATCGATAATTTCATTGCTCATTCTACTTAGAGACCTTGCTAAGCACGGAGTGAGATCCGGATGTGAAGGGCTAACCAGGACTTAAGTTGGCAGACTTACATATAGACTCGGAGTGTGGTGAGGTCACTGCTGACTTTCGAGTCCACTCAAGAGTTTTCCTTTTCGTCACAATGGATTTCAACCTGTCTTGTCATGTCTTCTTCACGAAGAAGGCGAGCTTGAAGGGCGACTTTGATTGATTGGATCAATACGCTACTATTCTTGAGCATCACTCGTCACCCTACGTGCTAGCACTACCTCTAAATACTGTCTTCAGAAGTTCGGTAGTACTCGTAAGACAGCTGCAGCTGTGTGAGAGAGTAGCTCAGTCGTGATTGAAGAGAGGAGCTACGGGCTTGACTAATGACTAATGACTCTTAGGGCCTAGTGAACCAACCGCGCGCGCGCTTAGAGCGCTTACTGTCCGCGCAGTAAGCGCTCTAGGTAGTCCACATGAATCCTCTGTCGACGAGACATCAGTTGGATTGACTGGACTCGAGTGAGTGAGCGTAGAGAGCGGCCTCTGCAGTAGTCAAGGTTCCACCATTCTTTCAGCAAATAATTCAGCTCTACAGAAGCTAGAGAATTTTGCTGGTACTGGCCATGTCGCTGCCAAGCATCATCGACGATCCGATCGAGTGTACGTGTTCTCCGACGAGTCGACGAGAACTATAATACCAGCATGTAAGCATGTGAGAATCTTTAACCCGTTAGTCATCGTATCTGTTGAGCAAGAACGCGAGCAAAGCCTCTACATTCCAAGTTGGTGCGGTGGTTTTAGTCTGCGTATGCAGTTACCTTGCCTCGCACCATCGGTAAACCAGCAGCCTCAGCTGCGCTCCTGTGTCTGCGCTTAACAGACCGTACTCTACCTCTCATCACATTTGGTCTAACAGCTGCTAATCTAACTGACGGAGGGAATGTACAATTGGAATTGCAAGAGATGTAAACCGTCACGTTTCAACTTCACATCAGTCTCATAATTATACATTTACAAAAAAGTAGGAGAGCTACTAACCGCAAAGCACCACCCCTGCTTCTTCCACGTACTAAAATCAGACTCCTGTTCCTCGAATGCACTAACTCTGCACACGATTCAGAATGTATTTGCTAGCGTTTGTATAATATGACAACTGTAGCTTACGTCTACAACGTTTCTCTTTGAGCACTTCTATAAGATCAGAGTACCCCATGATCAGGGGACTGCGTAAGAAACCAGTCTCAAAGCTTGGATTCGGCTGTGATTTGTATCTTCTATTGAAACCCGCCAGCCGTAGAAGAGGGAACATAAATTCGAAACTTGCAGTGAATAACATATAAGGTCCTCGTTGGTTTGAATGTGTGGACATTTGGGCCGAGGTGTGTAGTTAGAGCATTGACATCAGTACTCTCTATTATGTCATCCACACTGCATGGGCGGCGATGGACAAACCGGACAAAACGTGATGAAGCTGACAGTCCAAGCAACAGATTTGTTAAATCGGTTTTAAGGTTTGGGTTGGGGTTCGATAAAATCTCCTATCCACGAAGTCGTCTTACACTCAGCTATCATGTGGGCCTCAAAATCGGCCAGCTTTCTTGCACGCTATATTTAGATTGGAGTAACATATGACACACGCCTGAGGCATGTTGATCCAAGAGAACGCTGCATTTCATAATCTACAAATGCTACTGAGAAAATGGGAAGTCTTATGCAACGCCTTTAAAAGCTGCCTGCACGTCAACTAACATCAACATTCTCGACGGAATTGTAAGAATCATGGAGGGCTTCATATAAGATCTACCACTTGACGACTGACGAGTTGCTTGCATTCAATGAGTCTAGCATTTTCGAGCGTAGATTTCAGACTGTTCTTCATCACGAAGCGGTATCAATGGGAACTGACCTTCGGAAATGTCAATCTGGCGCTTGCTTCATAGGCCACACAGTTCCTTCCGAAGACGAAGACCCTGTCCATTGAGCTGTGTGACGATCATCAAGCATTTGGAAACTAGATACAGAAGTTAGACCTGAAACCCGCGACGGCGAAGGAATCCAAAGTACAAAAACTAGTCCACAAGGAACAGCCAACGTCGGTGTGAGCAACAAAGAGGTCAGTGATTCTTCATGTAAGCCACTGACTCAGAATCCTGAAGAAATTTCAGACCCAAAACCTAATGCGATAAGAAAATTCAGACGGGTTGCCTGTCTGTCATCACGAGGTGTCTATATGTCAGCTGACAGTGGCCCGATGCATCCAAACAACTTACCGAATGACCTAGAATGAAGATAAATCACTTCACGGGAATTCGACCAAAAGAGCCTGTACTTCGACACGAGCGAGGATCAGATCAGAAAGCTGTGACAGACACGAAGAGAGTGAGGATTCCTGTATGTCATTGATCCCAATTGCATCAGTGTGAGAAGCCTTCCTGGACACTGCAGAGAAAATTCTCGACGAGCTCCAACTCTACAGGTGCGGAAGGATTCTCACACTTTACAATTGGCATCAATAGCATGTGTGGGATCTGTCATTACTTTTCTCAACAGCAGTTCATAGTAGCTTCGGTACTCTGGATGTTCGCTCCATCCTCTCGTGTCTCCGGGGAGATGAACTTGAGCTTTCAGCTGGTCCTTAGAAAACCCCATCTCCCATCACCTGTTTCAGCTTCTAAAGCTCCAACTGGACTAGGCCCAGCTATAGCCTAAAGTCATTGGCACGGCAGCCAAGAGATCACTTTTGACGATGGTCACCATAATCACGCACAAACTCTGGACTTTCCTGCTCCGCCTCCAAAAACCTAGTCAACCTTGAGATGGATGTATGTTTGGCCTAGACCTACTTATCATTGCAATGAGATCTAGTCCAGATCTATCGACCTTCAAGACCTTCAGGTTCATTGCGTATCTAGCTCACGGCACAACGATCTGCATGCTGCTGCAAGGTACATGTGACTCGGGATGGAAAAAGTATAATATCGAGAAATTGGGAAAAAAGTAGAGAAGAAGAGGGACAAAAACGGAGGGCATGCAGCCCATGCTACACTGAGCATCAGCTGAATCACGTGCCTCGAGTGACCTAGGTGTTTTGACTGTTAGCACGAGTCGATAGGGGATGTTGATCTGATTCTACAAACTCTCTTCAGTGTGTTATGAACACCACCCAGGACGTGCATATGGTCATGCTCTAGCGAGCTGAGTCACTTGCATGGATTAAGGATGTGACTAGCAACGTGAATCGATCGGGGAGATCGGCCACCGGTTCCCCATCTGAGCACTATTTGTACTAATTCCCGTGGGTATTGTCACGCCGACCCGGTCTCTAGTAGACCAAACCCCAAGGCTTGTCCAGGAGTCAACACAGGCCGATCACTTGCTTTGTGGATATTGTGGGGACTTCTGAACTTCTT